TTTTATTGTGTAATTTTTACATTTATAATTTTACTGTGGAAGATCTGGATTAAATTAAAATAAAGATCTGGATCCTAATGTAAATGAAGCACTTAGAAGTTTCATGTTCTGCACTTAAACTAGAAAGAGAAGCTTTTGTTTGCTTATGAAATGTTAATTCTTGTTCTGACCTTCTGTGAAAACTAAAATATGTGATATGTGGCATAATTCTATGTGTCTGAAACAGAACCAAAGCAATAATGTTTTGATGCTGAAAACTCTTCAGGGAGCTTTCAGATGTTCCAAGGCTTGTACAAAGCAAAGATGCACTGAAAATTAGTGATCTTGAAATATGATTTTAAACCCACACCTATTTGTCTTAAGCTATGATATAGATGAAGTTGTGGCTCAAAAATCAAACCGAAAAGATGTTGTTTTGCTAGAGGCAGTTTTCTTTAAAAATAAAAAAAAAAGCAAGTAGATTTCTAAGGCAGCTTTCTCCCATAGAAATATGTTAATATTACAAGCAGACAATCTTTTTTAATATAACAAAGGTAAATTATTAAGTCTACTTCTGAGTTTTTACATGCTAACTGAAAATAAAGTATTTGTATGAATTACTTTTGTTAGTAGTATATCATGACACTTAGTATTTTAGGTTTCTACCTTGTAAACCCTCTCTGCTGTTCTCGCCTCCCCTCCCTGAGATTCCAGAAGGCAATAAGGGATGGAAAACCTTTAGGTAATTGGATTTGCATTGAAATTGTCATTTACAATTTTGTTATTATTACTCTTTTTAGGACTTAAAATACTGCTGTTCCCCACATGTACATCACTTATTTTCCCTCAGTAATACACTTGTTCATGAAGTCCATTTAAAACAGCCTGTAGGAAAGTGTTTCTTTCACAGCTCTGAGCCTTCCTGTCAGGTTTCCCATTGCCATGGCAAGGTCTTGATTTAGAGTATTTCTGTACAAAAGGATACTTTTGACCAGATGAATTAACTTTGTGGAATTTTATTATCTAGAATAAAATATATTGCAGATTCCTAGTTTTGGGAAGGGCAAGAATGTTTTATTTTTTCATGCTGTGCACTGGGTCTTCTAAGCAATGCTAGTGAAACTGGGGGTACTATGTAGCAGCGCCCTGGGCAGACCCTGGGTGTCCCAGAGGAGTCTGACACTGTTGAGCATCTTGTAACACTTTCAGAATGGTCAATACAGCGCGTTTTGTGTCTGCTGTGGAGGGAGCAGAGCACCAAAGAATGGCTGGGTCAGGATGGCCACAGCTCACAACAGCTCTTGTGATTCCTGCAAGACTTCAGAGAGTCTGAAGTGCATGGGGTGTCCCTCCTGGTGAGCTGAGCCAGGGGCTCTGCTTCTGGAACAAGGCAAAGGAGAAGTGTTCTGCTTCTTTAAGTTTTAATCTCTAGTTGCAGTTTAGTTAAAAGCTACAAGCATAGACGTGTGGGTGAAGCCATAGAACATAATTGCTTGAATTTTTGAGCAGGGATCTTACCAAGGGCCAGAAACGAGATGTGTGGTTCACAGACAGTGAGCGTAACATCCACGTAGGAGACAAGTTTATAAAGGGCATTGGCAATAAACTTTATTTGTTGCAGCTTTTTTCCAAGTATTGTAAATACTCTTTCCTGATATGTACAGCCTTGGAATGGCACCTTTTAACTAACCCCGGGTGTATTTTGTTTCCAATGTTTTTATATACGACTGTATATATGGTGCTCACTTTAGAACAGCAGTGTTGACCATTTATGCTGCATAGTTGTATTATAGCCTTATAGTTGTGTGTGGCTGGTTGGACCTCTGGGTGTACAGATGTGTACAGATGTGTTAGTCTGAGTGCTGTCCTCTCCCCCTCTGTTGATAGGTGAATGATTGTGCATGTGGTGTACGTCGTGTTATGTCGTCACGTAAAAGGAAGGGCGAGAATAACCACTACATTAAGATAATATTGGACCAAACTATTTAGAGCAAGTAAACAGTTTCTTGTACCCCTTAACGTGTCTTTAAGAGTTGCATATAGTTACAGTAGTGTATAAAGTAAATATTGTGGAAAAACAGTTAGTCTTGTATTTTTCTGTATGTGTGTATATAAAAATATATAAAAATAATGTACCTCTAGCAACTTAATCTGTATTTAAGATGTGACAATCTTGACACAGAATTTTAAGAGTAGCAGTCTAAATAAGCAGAATTAATGAACAGAAGTATAAAAATTTCTCACCAAGAAAGAATCCATGTGTGTTAAGAGGGTACAGAAATATCAACTGATCTTATTGCTTCTGGCAATGTTTGGCTTTTTCATTGTACAAACATTCATGGTGTGCGACAGAAATGGAAAATCCAGTTAATAAAAGTGATATCCTGATTGATGCATAAGCGGTGACTTGCACGTGGATGGGGTCTGTGTGTCCTGGCGTTGGGTGTGTGAGGGCAGCACGGCCTCCAGGCTCCCTGCGCTGCAGCAGCTGGGAACAGTGAGGGGCCTTGCCTTGGGAGAGCCCGGCTTGGTGTGTGGATGGACATCCAGTTGTCACCTGGCAGTTACTCTCTTGCACTGATCAAAGGCCTGCATTCGGGCTTAACGCTTGTCACAGTCGTCATCTGCTGAGCTTTTTGTCTCAAGGCCGAGGGAGCTGTTCCTCAGGCAGAACTCCAGACCATGGCTCTTTGTAAGGTAAAGCAGGTAACAGTAAAAGTAGAGGGGGGCAGCAGTGCCAGCCCACTTTGCCCCACAGCACGTGCTGCAGTGAGGTGCACGGGACTGCCTTCTGGCATCTTGTCCCTCAGAGGTGTCTCTTGGTGCCTGTGGTTGGAGCAGCTCAGCACGACACTGCAGTGATTTAAGTGCTCCTGGAGCACAAAGTGTAACCAGCCAGGGCAGGTACGGACACAGGGAGCAAGGGCACGGAACAGGTTCTGTGAATACATGGCATTAAGTGACCCCTGCTTCAGGCCAGGGCACTTGTGCAGAGCTGCGCCTGCGGGCTTGTGCCGCTGGGACCTTGCCCTGTCTGAGGAGCTTCCCAGCCCTGGTCACTGCAGAACTGGGTGGAGACGGTAGCAGGAAAGGAGTGGCCAAGGAATTTGCAGGGCTGTGGCTGTGACTGAGGCAGGAAAGGCGTAACACATCATGCAGTGCAAGGCCAAGCAGTAACATCTCAGTAGCCGGTACGTGCAGTCAGATACTTTTCATGTCAGATTTGTTTTAAGGATTTTTTCATTAGCAAATAAAGGGAAATCCCAAAGCAGCTGGCTAGCAATAAATAGGGAACAGGGGCAAGCTGGAGTGTCCCCAAACATCAGAGACAACCCAGCCACCCCCTTAGCCTTTCCCATGGTTAAGCTTATGTGAATAAATCAGAACTGATTTGTTTGTCATTAATTCCAAATGATGACTTGCTTTCAATAAAAGGTGTTTGAGCAGTAACACCTTGATGTGACTGTACTTGGGAAAGTGTAGCAATGACTCACTTGTTGAGTTGTTGACTGCATGCAGCCAGCCAGGCTCCTTCACATCCATTCGATGTTTAGAAGGACTGCTGGATTGCCCTTCTCCAGAGCAGTGTCTCTGCAGTTGTCTTAGCCTGCTACCTCCCTGAACCACAGGCTCTGGCTATTTATTTATTCTTTAAAATTGTAATTGTGAGATGAATCAGTTTGGCCTATCTGCCTGTATTACAAATGACATCAATTTCTGGAAGTCAAGAACCTGGTATTAGAGACAGAGCAGAGTCTTATTACATGGGCTAAAGAATGAGATTACCTCTATTTTCAGATCTAATGGAAGAATTATAAGAAAAATGCAAGTATAGGGCCTGAGAAGCTCAGAAAGGTAACACAGACTTCATCAGGCTCTCAGATGATTCATCTCAGAAATTCGTTTCAGCAGGCCCTTGTGTAACATCTTCCTCTTTCCTCCCTCTCACTGCTCTCTCTTGAGAAATACAGAGCAGGGGAGGCAGGATCTGGTTTTTCTCTCTGGGCATTCGTGTGCCACATGCCCTCAGCCTGGGACAGGCCCAGCACTGCCCTCATGATGCCAGTGATGACAGAGGCCATCACCACAGTGCTTTGTCTCAAGCACTGGGCTGCAGGGGGAGCCTCCTCTCTCAGCACCAGCCTCCAGGGCTGGAACTGAGTCACCAAGCCCTGCTGTCAGCCCTGGCCTGGCACTGGCACTCGCCCCTCCAGCTCCTGGGTGAGGCATGGCAGAGCTTTCCTGAAGAAAGCACATCACAGTAGTCGGCATTGTTCCCAGGGGCTTTGCTTACATGAATAAGGAAGTAAACTCAAATTTCTCTGAATGAGATTCAAGATCAATTCCCTCAGGCCTAGGTAGGCTAAAATATCCATAACTGCTTGTCTGCTTACAGAGGAACCTTTCCATGTAATGAGTGTTCTCCTCTTCTGTTCTCCTCAGTAGATACCCTGAGTCAGCAGATCCCTCTGGGCCACACAATTAAACCTGCACTCACAAGGTACATGATGAGAGAACTCTTGTATCACCAGCAAGTGGTTTGTGAGTGCTCTTCTTAAGAACAGCTTTCTTGGATTGTTACTGCTGCTGCTAAAGAGATTTGTAAAATCCAAATCTTAACAGACAGATATGGGCTTCTCCCACACAGCCATCTTCCCAAACAGGATGCTCCAGCCTCATGCTTGGTTTTTCCCTGAAGCTTTAGACCAGAGATAAACTTATTTTATGGCTTAGGCACTGGCAGAACTGCCACACACCCCTGTCTGGTGGCCTGCACTCCTGCAGGGCCCAGAGCCACGGCTGTCTAGAGGTGTGAGGCTTCTCAGCTGGGTAAGGGACTCTGCCTGGACCTGGGGACAGACATTCAGATTCCATACCTTGTGAATGGCAGCTACTGATAAATATCTTTTCTCTCTGACATTGTCACCTGACAACTGATTTTGATCAGTGAGTTTCATCCCTGGCATCCCACAATTTTTACAGGTGCACCTATAGCAGAAAGGAAACAACACATTCAGGAGCAGAAACAGAAAGAATTTTTACTCTCAAATGAAACATGAAAATAGATGCAACCATGAATGCATAAAAAGCCCAAAAGACAAAACCCAGTACACCAGGCAGTATGAAACACAGGAACCCGTCCCCAGTGAAAGGACAAAGAGCTGCATACAGAGGAATAGGAGCTAAATTTCAGTTCACTGACAAAATACTGCTTGGCACTATGAGGGAACATTTCTCAGCAGGTTAAAGTGTGTATTTTAGGACAGAAACAGTCTCTCTCTTGACCATGTAGCATCTGTAAAACAAGAGTTCTTCCAGTAAGTGGAACAAGCTTTAATCCCTATAAAACAAAGGAGTCCCATCCCATACTTCTCACACCATGGAAGGTCAGAATCCCTCCACACTCCTCACTTTCGGTGGAGAAGGCACCTAAGAACAGTATTATTATCCCTGTTTCTGGATAAGGAAGCTAAGCAGAAGTGAAGGGATTTGCCCAAGATAAAGGCAACAGCCAACATTACTGAAGTCATTGGGTACTTACACCTCACTAGAGATTTTCCTGTTAATCCACAGGAAACAAAAGCAATGGATCCCACAAGGAAAACCACGAAGTCAGTTTTGCAGAAGGTGACTTACTTGTTTCACCTGATCACAGCTGACACACGACTTGATTCCTTTTCTAACCCATCTTAGAAAGTTATTCCAGACACCTGACACAGCTGCCATCAGCAGAACACAACAACTTCATGCTCCCAGACCACCATCCATTAAGCAGACCAGCAGAATCCCTTCAAAATGGCTGCAAGGTCACAAGAACATACTCCAACAGGAACCCATCCCATGGATTTTTCTTCTCGGGAACTGCTCCCTCAAAAACACTGACCAGGCAGTTAAAATTTGAAGAAACATGAGCTACTTCGGATCAAAGTGGGCAGGAGACTGCAAAGATGGGGAGTTTTCATAGAGAACACTGGTCCCCTCCTAAAAAAACTTTTGGTTTTGGGATCTCTACAGCACTACAGGAAGGGTGACACGCTTCCCTCAGAGATCCTCAGGACCGAGCATGTGCAGCCACAGCCCTGCCACTGCTTCAGGAACAGGCTGTGAAAGCAGCAGCCCATGAGATACCCCTGAAACAGCAGCACCGTGGGGAACTAACAGTGGGAGAAGCAGGAACAGAGTAGCCATAGCACAGGTTTGCTCCTCTTCCCAGGAGAACAGTCATTTCTTACTGGGTCACACCTGCAGAGCCTGAGAAATTCTAATTTTTAGTTCCAGACAAAACATATTATTTTGGCTTAGTTATATTACTCTGCTGTGGAAGCCCAGTGGCAGAAATCTGAAATGTGCAAAGTAGGCAAACACCTTAATTATGGCAGCAGCAGATTTTTGTGAACAAAATTCCAGCAAGTACCACATAAGTTACATCTACTGAAACTGAACATCACAGCAGCCAAAAATAAACTGTCTCAAGGACACAGGAGCAAACACTGTAGATTTTGTCCTATTACTGTCAGGAAACAATGAAACATCAGGACAGCTACCTTTTTGTGAAAGGCAAGGAAAACCAAATCAGATATTTACTACAAACACAAATACTGGTGTATCAAGTATCAACTTTAATTGAACTATTTACTGTTAGTTCATTTAACCAGAAGATCCATTCATACAATACTGCAGTTCAGAATCCAGGGCAGTAATACCAAAATCCAATATAAATTAGAAAATAAATATGCTTCATAAGTCACTGATCAGCAATCTGTTTCCTACTAATTTTTTTTTTTTACCTAGCTTTTGAAAAGATTTTAGCTGGGACCCATTTAGAGAACTAGCAAACAGGAGTATATAATACATACTCTATAAACATTTATGTTCAACCATTTCTCAGATCACATAATGAAATACATTATTGTTCCCTATGAAATGTATAACATACTTAAATTAATTTGCTGTGGACAAGCAGTAGCTAATAAGCAAAGCTTTGAAATAATAGAGGATTGATTAACTATTGTAATGAAGGAACAAAAGGGGCAATAACCATAAAGGGAGAGTAAATTAAATAATAGTCTGCGGTTTTTTTCCCCTTTAGAAAGTTGCAGCTGAAAATTCTAGTGAGCTTCTGGATGCTTCCTCACAGGATCTGTTTTCAATCACTCAAAGCACAGGGAGTCTGGCAAATTTTATCCAGACCTGGCATAAGCTGGAGTGCTTTATTTGGTGTTACCTTCACAAGCAATTGCGTATCAGAAACAAAGAGAGCAGGGGAAAATACAGTTTTTTACAGTGTCAGGCAAAGATTATTTACCAAGTTTCATGTAAGCAGGTGCCACCTACTCAGTAGATGGTGGAGGGTGCACTCCGAGCGCCACCCATGGCCACAAACGCTGGCTCCGCCTCACTTGTGACCGCCTTAGTCATCCTCATTCCTCCGTGTTTACTCCTTCAGCGACTCCGCCGCCAGCTTCATTTGCTGCCAGGACAGAAGAACGGAGAGAGAAGCTGAGTACAGCGGCAACAGGAGGAATTAACAAACCAGCTAGAGCCTAACAGGACGCTCCAGAATCCAGCTGACTAATAAAACCACACCAAAAAAAGAGCTTGAGCATTTAAAAACAAAAACCACCAGTCTGTCATGCCTGATTTTTACAAAATACACTATTTTAACAGAGGCATTACTTTTGTCCTCCAAAACACTCATCAAATGGCAATGCAGTTTGTATGTTAATTAATTATTTTTGTGATGAATAATGCCTTATGTGAAAATCATTTAGCCCTAAATATTTAGGCTTTTAAGCTGATCTCAAAAGGTCAATGAGCTGACAAACTGCTGCCCCCACTTCCCATTGCAACAATCTGTTAACTGTTATTCAGTATTTCTGTTGTTGTTGTTGTGGAATTAAATAAAACCATTCTGTGATATAAGAAGGAGGTAGCAGACTGCTTTGGAGATACATGTTATTTCCAATCCTGTTGATAACCAGTTTTGTTTTCATTAACCCAGGATGTCACCAGAGACATGTCACCATGTGAAACCAGGATAACAATCCCAGGTGATGAAAATATCTGCTGAGTAAAAGAAAACAGAGCCACTCTGTGAAGCTTCTTGCTAAAGGGAATGTTTCATAACACGGAACTTACAGAGCCAACAAGAAAGAGTTCAAACTGTGCTGAAGGCATCTCTCACACATCACCTGGGGATTGTCAGCCAAGGGCCTGGCAATGTCTGGAAGGCTGGAACCGCCCTGATATACTAAGAAATAATCAGAGTGACTGAAGTCCCCCAAAGAAAAAAGACAGACAACAGTCTCAGGAAGGAGAGGAGAGGGAGACCAGCCCAAAGGACAGGCTGAGGAGCAGAGGCAAGGAGATGCACAGCACTGCTGCAATTCACTCATGCCCAGCATGCCACCTCCTTGGAGGTAATTTGGCAGAGAGGGAAACTAAAAGGCTGGACATGAAAAATGTGAGTGATCGTATAAAGAAACAACTTATGCAGCTTTCAACTCCTAAGCCTCTAGGCGGGTTCTGTGTCATTCCCCCAGTGGAGGATGGACGTGTGCTACTGAGCTCTAGTTGTTTCTTTTTACATTTGTATTTGATCTCATAAAAATGGCCCATGACATATGGGCTATTAGAAAGTGAAGTACCTAAAAATGCTATAACAAAATTGGAAAAGACAAAGCTGCAAACAAAGTGTACACTATCATTCAGTTTCTATCCCACAACATGGGATAAAAAGATGTCAGATGCTTCAAAACAGCACCTTCTACCTCTTCTTTGCTGCTAGTCTGGGCCTAAACCTATTCCAAAACACTACTCTGCATGCTAAAACACACCTACAACAACTTTTCTTCACCATTTTTATCTTATTTCCATGCCATCTATAAGTGAAGTAAAATTAGTTTGTGATACAAATATTTATATGCTTCTCCATAGCAACAGTGCAGGGAAAAAACCCACAGCTAAAGGCTGGAATACAGATAAGATTCCTCTTCTACATCCTGATTCACTTATTGAAATAAATGTCTGAATAGAACTACAGCATCTTTAATTAAAGTGACTTTTTCTCCTATCACAAAAACATAGACACAGAAGACAGCACCTTCATTCAGTTCCTGATCCATCAAACACAAACATTCTCCTATTTCAGAATGATTTTCGTAAATTCTGAGTGCTGGTGTAATTGTATGGGGATTGATGAGGATTGCAGAAGACTGGAAAGGTATTTTTATTCTCTGATCTCTGCAGGCCTCGCCAAAGTCTGGAAAAAAACCAAGCACGAGTGCTAATGATGACTAAATGTAATCTGTCCAAAAACTCTGTACAAGCTGGACCACTCTTATTTATTTTTGAAGGCCCTCCTAATTTTAACTGAGCTAATCTTAAACTAGGATTGTCTTCTGCTGGCAATCTTATGCTATCATATTTAAAATACATGATATGAACAAACAAATATCCCAGCTTCCTGAGCGGGCCAGAGAGTAAGAAAAACCTCTTAAAATAGCTTCACATGCTGCCATGGCACATAAGGGCTGGGCAGAATCAGTCCAAATGCAGTCATACACATATTTCAGGAAATGAATCATAAGCCACATGAGAACCCCAAGAGCTGTGTATTTAATTTCTTCTTTATAGTTTGTAATACCAAAATGTGTTTGGCAGTACCGGGCAGCAGCAGGCTCCCCCAAGAGCTATCACATGGGCAAGCAACATGTGGTGGCACCTTTAAACAGAGACATTCTTTGCCAAGTTCAGGCTGAAAAATTTTTAAATTTTCTTTCTTTTTTACTGTGAAAGTAAACGTTCCTGCTCAATGGGAAAATATTTATCTAAGACAACATATGGGAAAGGGAGTGTATTTTTAAAATTTATTGCTGAGAAAGGGAACTGATGAGGTACCTTTTAAAATCACTTTTCCCCTGAGAGCCCCAACAGGTTCATTGGGAAACCTGTGGGGCTGAGTTAACTGCTCTTCCCTCAAAAATACATGTCTTTGTAAGCTTTAAGAAGTATTTAAAAAATATGGAAAAGAGGTATTAAAAATGTCTTGATCTATTTGTTAAACCTACTAGATACATAATGACAAAAAACACTCATTTGAGAGATATTAAAAGCCTCTGTGAACTAATCAGAGGCACAGTTCAGAAATGAGTTGGCTCAAGAAGCCATTCCTCATTTATTATCAGCTGAGAGTTACTAGTGAAAGGTTTATACTTAATGCTCTGTTTTATGCAGCACCCTTAGCAACAGCAGCCTATGCATGCAATACATGAGGGAAACGTGTTTAAACTGGTATTAATTTTAGTGGGGCTACAGTGTTGTTTATCCTAAAATATCTACAATTAGGAAATGCTCTAAATATTTATCTGCTGTAATTCAATAGATTTGCTATTTCCATTTTATTAAGTTAAAATTTCCTTGTAAAGCACATGTAATATAATTAGACAGTACTTCCAGGAGAAATAGCAAAACCCCTTTAATGTGGTTTACAAATAGGCTTTAGCAATTACTTAGATTTTCCTACATTTCAACATTAAATTTTCTGAAAGGACTTTATTAAAACAGAACAGATACTTCCACACCACAAGCACAACTGCATACCAAGCATGGAAATCAGGCTACTTCCTTTGTGGGCTCCAGAAACACCAACTTCAGTGTACAGGGTATGGCTGTGGCAGTTCTCCAGTTAGAGGGGCTATGGAGGCCTAAAAATGTGATTTAGTGCTGCCAACAATACCAAAATACAAAATTAAGTCGCTAAAACCATGAAATAACAGAAATACACAGCAGCACCAGAGACCTCAACTACAGCAAAACCCGAGGAGCTGGATTTACCAAGGGCAGTGCCAGGGCTTGGTTCAAGTCACGGGTTTGCTGGAAATGCAGGATGTCCCTGCATGGCACGAGGAGGAGCCTGGCCCACCTTGTCTTCCAAGCCCTGCCCAGGGCTGAGAGCTGCTCTGCCCCTCGCTCTGCCCAGCAGGGCTGCTCTGGGCCAGGACTCGGCGTGTCCCAGCACGTGGCTTCCTTCTGCCCTGGGCTGAGAGGCAGGAGCTGCCCTCACACCCCCAGCTTGGCAATCCATCTGTGACCTTCCTTCTGCACCAGAGGATAGCAGAGGGAACCCAGCACTCCTGCTGCCCCAGTGCTGGTTTCACACACACTCATAACCTAATCAGACACTCTCACCTTTCCTTTATGGTTTCTGTGGGACAGCCAACATTTAACAGGCACTAACAGCCTTTGCTGGTTTAATGTTGATTTACTGCCCTTGCTGAGCTCTGTGTCAGATGCTTACAACACCGTTATTTTCCAGTTATGCCCGGACCTGGTAAGTCAGCCTCTAACAACTCTTAATTTTACCACTGTGTGTGTTAATGCCAACTGACAATTCAACCACAACCTGAGGAAAAAAATTAAAAAAAACAGAAAGCATATAAAAGTGAAAACCAAAGAAACCAGGATCTATTGACTCACTGGACTCGTGCTTTTCCACAGGTATACTCAATCTACACATAAGTTCATACATACGAAGAACATGTAAATAGTTTATACTAAATATAAAAATACATGAAAGCAGATGTTTTTTATCAGCATCCCCATCTTCTGGTTTTCCTGTATACACCATGTGGAACAGCTCATAAGCAGTTAGAAAGAGCAGTGGTACATGGTATCTTTCCCACTTTCTAGCACTAATTATAATATGAAAACATGACAGATATATATTAAATTCTTCTTTTGTAATGGTGTCCAATCACAACAATAGTAGTTTCTTGGCACTTGAGCTGTCTCAAGAACTCTATCAGCTTAATCTGTAAGTACCAACCAGTTATAGAAGAGGCAAATTAACACCCACTTCAAAACTCAGTAAGCCTCTTCCACATGTAGTATTTTATTCTGTGTAAAGGTTTAAAAGCTTATTTAATGGAAATTTGTTCTCACTGATTATAATGGTGTAAGGTTATGGTAAGTTCCTACCTAGAATCACAAATCTTCCCTCAAGGTTTTTGTCTATGGCACTGAACACTCTGCAGGGAACGGCACTTCAGGACTCTGGGCTTGGGGTTACTTTTAAGCTGCATTTCTGACCACTTTTCCAGCAACATGTTTGTTTCCTTAGCTGGAGATGGTAACTGATGCTTCTTGACAGCAGTAATAACCAGCCCCTGTACCAGTACACTCCTGTTTATAAATCCCAGGACCACACAGCCACGATGTAACACTGAATGCTTATTTTCAGTTGAGTCATCCTGCACAACCCCTCATTCTTCTTGAAAGCTATTGATTTCCAGGATACAGTTTCTCCCCTCCTTGAGTAGTAAGATAAAAGACTTGTAGGAACCATTTCACAACTTCCTCATTTCCCAGAGCCAAGAGCAATGGCCCTGTGATGCTGCAACCCAGTGGAAACCACTCTCTATAAAGGAAAGCCACACATGAGCATTAAACAGTCAAATATAGATTTTTTTT